CCCAGTGCTCATCAGGTCATGTGCCCTCCTTAATGCCCATCACCCAATTACCCCATCCCCCCACCCAGCTCAGATGTCGGTTGTAAATAAAAGTTGTCACCTGTGTTCCTGACTGATTCGCTGTAAATCAGAGGTTCCCATTACCCCCTCTTTGGATTCTACTAATTTGCTAGAGCAGCTCAAAGAACTCAGGAAAACAGTTACATTTACCAGTTTATTAAAGGATACAGATGAACATCCAGATGAAGAGAAACAGGGCAAGGTCTGGGAGGGTCCCAAGCCCAGGAGTTTCTGTTCCTGTGGAGTTGGGGTATGTCACTCTCCTAGCACATGGATATGTTATATTCACCAACCTGGAAATTCCCTGACCCCCATACTTTGGGATCTTTATGGACGTTTCACCACTTAGGCACGATCAGTCATTAACTCCAAGCCCTCTCCCCTTTCTGGAGAATCAGGGTAGAGTTGAAAATTGCAAGCTTCTAATCATGGCTTGGTCCTTCTGGTGACCAGCCCCCATCCAGGAGCCAAAAATAATCTGACAGAGGCAAAGGCAAGAACAAAACTTGGAAGATAGGCTTGGAAATATCATGGGTTTGGAAAAGTCTAGACACAATGGGTCAGGCTCTCAGAAGCTAGGTGAGCAATCAGGAAACACAAATAAGGGTTGAGGAGAAGCAATAAGCCAGAGAGCAAAAAGCACACAGATGCCAGAGTTTTAGTTGAGGTACTTCAGTTTTTTTAGTCTCCTGTCGTTCTTCTATCTTCATCCAGATAGTGTCTGCCACAGGAATATTAAACAACCTGTAGTACTAAGAACACAAAGAGTTCCTGTTCTTCTATCCACCTGAACAGTTTTCTCCCATTGTCCCCAATGGGTAAATTCTTAGCTATTTTTCAAAATCTCCATTTAGAAATTCCATGCTCTGTGTTACCTTCCATGTCCCTGGTTATATTTTCAAGGACACTTTTAGTTATAAATGACAGAAAAGCAAGTTTGAGCAAAAATGAGAAATTTGGGGCTCATATTAATGAAAGGCAGGGGTAGAGATGATTTAAGAATGGTTAGAATTAGGAGCAGATGTGATTCATCAGGGCTCTACCTTTTTCTTGTGCTTTTCTCCATGAGCTAGAACTGATGGTCAACAGCCATCCTGATCATATCCTACCAGCTTAACCCCCATAGTAGAAAACGAATCTTCCCCCATACTTCTGCCACAAACATCTCAAGGAGTATTCTGATTTCTCTGGCTTGGATCATGTATCCATCCATTTGCCCTAAGCTCTGACCCCCTGACTGACAGTCTCTAGAGTAGGGAAGGAAAATTCCACAGTGAAAATGTAGGATGTTGTTTACAAAAGTAATATTGAAGGGATACTGGGCATTTAAAAAGAAATGTCAACAAACAGTTGATAAATCATGGTTGATCAATTAAAATGACTGTGGGCAGTTCCCCTTGACCAGAGTTCTATGGGCCTTCAGTGGATTGATAAACTGAAAATGTAGGCACAATTTTGCCTGGATGCGAATCTCTCCAGGGAGGGGTCCATACCTTAATGATATACAAAGGATTCCAGGGTGGGAAGGTAGAAATACTTGGAAAGGAAATGCTTTGTCCCCATCCCCATCCACTATGAACTTCCCCTGACTTAAGCCATGTGAGGGAATTTGACAGAAAGTAGAAAGTATCAAGATAGGAGTTAACTTTTATTTGATTCCTACTTAGTTCTCATCACACTCTGTTTATCTCCGTTTAATCACTTGTTAAGTGTGGATCATAAAAACTATTTGTAGATTAAAATAGTTTAGCACAGTGCTTGGCACATGGTGAGTCTCCAGTACTTTCTCGGAGTTATGTAACAACTGGGTAAGCCACAGAGACTACCCAGAAGTGATTCCTCCTACCTGCCATGCCATCTCATTTGTAGTAGGTCATGCTCTTTAGCAATGAGGGATCCAGGACTACTTTGGTATACTAGACAAGTCACTGTCCCCTCCCTTCAACAGCATTCCCTGCCAATGAGAGCCCAAAGAATGTTTAGGGTCCATCAGCTTCTTTTCATTCTGCTTGTGCTTACCAGCTAGCTCTCAGCCATCTCCTGCATTTGCTTCTTAAGCCAGTTGGGAGTATTTCCTGAAGAGGCCTCTGCTACCTAGAGACCCTGTGATTTCTAGGTGAACTTCTCTGCCCTTTGAACACATTAAAGAGGCCCAACCCCCAACATTGCATTCTCAGGAGAGAACCTCTCACGTTTTCCCCTGTGAAAGAAAGAATCGAGATTATTAACGCCTAGAATTAAAACATATGCTGAAGCTTTGCTTTCATAACTCCTCAGGATAATTTGTTATTGGGCAAAAATAGAACAGAATAAAATCATTTAACAGTGATAAGGAATATAGAGGATGCTACATCTATTCTCCTGTTTCAAAAACCTAATTTTTGGGCTTAATTAAAAACAACAACAAAAAAGGTAGAATTCGTATGTTGGTTGTAATGTCTTTCTCAGAACTGTCATGTGTATACTTTGTAAAACACTTGAAGTTTGTCATTTTTTTAACATAGCAGCACAATTATATTTGCATACAGTGTTTTCCATATGAATTTGGTGTTTTGACTTTTTATTATTTTTTATTATTATTATTATTATTTAGGGTATTAATTCACTGAGTCATTCAGTAAACCTTTATAGAGGGCCTGCTTTATTTTAGGCACTAGGCCATGTTTAAAATTTATCTGAATTACTAAACCAATAGAAATTATTCTGAAAACAGAGTTAAATTTGGTGTTTAAATTTTTTTTTTAAAGCTCTCTCTTCACTTCTAAGTAGATTAAATAATGGAAGAAAATGCATAGAATTTTAAAATTTATTATTAACTTTGTCAACATATTTGTTAAGTCATGGATGTTATAGTGGAATGTCAGCATACAATGCTTGAATTTTTAAAAATTTGTAATAAAATTTCATTATGTAATGATGATAATATAATATTATTCCTTTAATCAAGAGACAAGATGTTAAGAATTAATATAAAAATGATATGCCAAGGGACTATTTTATTCTTATTGTTCCTTTGATATAATCCGTTTCTGTGCTAACATCAGAGAAATGTCTCTGAAGTTTCCCACACACTCTAAATCATTATCTTTTGTTACTTCTGAATGAATTAGGCTTACATTCTTTGTTTACCCCTATCCATTCATTATTTAAATCAACACATTTTTATTGAATAAAATAAACCTTGCACATAACATGATGTGCTGCTTCATATGAAAATGTTGTTTTCAATAAGGTATTCCTTTGAAAATTGTTTTCCCCTGAAATATTATTAGGACTTCTGATAGCTAAATAAATAAGCAAAGTGATTAAGCAAATAAAGGAAAATAATATTAGATTTTAATCAATGAAATGCACACAGTAATAAACAGGGAAACTGTAACAAGTGGTTGATGATGGCAAGGTATGTTTTCTCTGAGGAATGGTATTTCAGCTGAATTTTGAAAGCTGGGATTATGTTAACTGTGGTCTGAGCTGGGATAGAATGTTTCAGGTAAGAAGATTAAGTTCCTAAAATCTGGGTGAAAAAGAGCCCAGTGTATGTGAGAGACAGAAAGGAAGCCATTGTGACTGAAGGGATCATATAGGATATTCTAGACTTTGTTAAGAAGTTTAAATTTATGCAAATAAATTGGGAAAACATTGAGGTTCTTTGGAAGGCAAGGAGTGACACAATGTAACTTAAGTTTCAAAGGTGAATCTGGCTTCTTTGTGGATGATAGCTTGTAGATGGGCAAGAGTGGGAGCAAGGGAACCAGTTGTTTGCTGATTGCAGTTCAAAAAGAAGAGCATTTACAGAGTTGTTCTTCATTATTTGGTGATAGGCCCTTACAAAAGGATATGCTGTACGTCCAAATGCTAGAGGTTATATACAAGATACCTGATCTCATGAACACAGCATTGTGCATCTGGGCATTGAAGCAGTGGCAGGGATGGGGACAACCACCCAACTTCTTGACATTTTATGTTTATCTGGTGATTATTTGTCTATGTGACCTACTGGTCTCATATGTGATTGACTATTTATTGTGTATTAAATACCAGGGGCATTGATTTCCCCAAGAACCGATACTAACTCAATATCTGAGTTGATAAATATAATAAGATTTGCCAGGAAATAAATAAGTTATGGTATTAATGTAAAATACTTTCAAAAAATATGTGTAAATAGCAACTATATTTTAAAACACCATTTAAAAATGTTAGAATGCTATTTTTTCCTCTGTTTATTATTAAGATTACTGAAACTACAACTATCTGAGAATCTTTCTTGTTGAAAATATTATGTCTGTAAAGTTGAGCTGAAAATTTTCAAGAATTAATTACTTTTTGAGAAGTCTTCCGCAAATTAACTATAGTTGAACTAGCAGCACTAAGATAATGGTCACTAAAATAATGATAATGAAAAAAAATAATGATAATTAAACTAATTTCATTCTAAGTACTCATGATAGTGCCACAAAATTAATTCTAGTTTATGGTATTTGCTTATTTTAAAATTACAGGTATCCTACCTCTTAGGGTGAATGAATGTGTTCGTAACTAGCCTTCAGCCTGCAATGCTTTCATTTATCTTTCTTTTATACTTTAAAAATATAGACCCCTATGAATTTTATCACATTTCATAAATTAATTTTAAAAGTAATTTCTGAATTAATAACACATGGATTATGGCATTAATTTAGACACATTTCCAACTATATAGATACATTTTTAACTAGAGAATATTTTCTTCAGTAAATTTCATATTCATGTAATTATTATTCAAAATGCTAACCTAAATGTTAAAAATATTTTTAAGTAATAACATGAGTTATATTAATGTTTATTTTCTGATTATTTGTTTGTATTTATTAGTTCTTAACCACATTTGAGTAAATTCAATTTTTCTATACTTCACGCTCTAGTTTAGATTTTTAAGGCATAGTGCTTTTATTTTGCAGATTGTTGCCTTGCGTGAACAAAATGTTCATATACAAAGAAAAATGGCATCAAGTGAGGGGTCCACAGAATCAGAACATCTTGAAGGGATGGAACCTGGTCAGAAAGTCCATGAAAAGGTATGACACATATGACATGGCCCTACATGGAAATATTCATTTGCTATATCATTTGATAAAATATGAAATATGAAGTCCATGTGATAAACATTCTTTATTATTTTTTGATTTGTTGGTCAAAAGTTCATGATGACTTTTCATTTATTGCTTTTAATTTGATTTTCTTAAAAATAATATGTATGTGTGTATGCATAGATATATATTTGAATTTCTCAATACTTGCTGTTAACTTGATCCTCTGAAATAATTCAATTATATATCTAATTGAATAAATATATTTGCACAGATAGGTATACCTATAGTATATATCCAGGACTTTTTAAGTATAATAACAATAATTTTGATTTATAAATGGTATTATGTACAATTGGCAACTCATCTGTGGCTTATCACTGCAAAAATTTTTTGGTAATCTCCTGTTTGGTTTGCTATTTTCCATGTGTTTAAGAAGGTCCTAACAGTACTCCTGTTAATGAGAAATTTCATAAAAGGATATCTGAAGTCTTGAGACTTTTACTGGTTTTTAGAAGGGAATGATTTTCCTTTGGTTGGGTCTTCTACCCAGGCTAAGAACACCAGCAGTCTGTTTGGCCCTTTTCTGGGCTAAACCATTTGTTTCCCGCACAAAAGGAAGGTCAGTTGCTGGTAGGTCTGGAATCAGATAAAGATGACATAGACTTTGCATACCTTGTGCACGAGGCTTAGACAATCTGCGGAGATATTTGCTGTGACCAGTTACATCTTCAGATGGTTGAACTCTTTAAGCATCAAGACTGCATGAATTAGGTAGCTAAATTGGTGTCATTGTCAATGTCAAGAGGTTTTAGAACATAGAGATCAAGAAGCAAGTGACTGGACCATGAAGCAATAGCACCAGACTTCTTACCTGAAAATAAACTGAACACTTCCTTACTTTTCCAGTTGAAACAACTGGAGGGGCTTCTTATGTTTCCTCCTTCAAGTATGAAAGCAAAGGAGGCCAAGTCAACCAGACTAATTTCCTGAGACTGTCATCAATTCTGGTAGCTGAGAGGCAAATAGCTCTTAATTTAAGGTTTCACTGTTTTAGCCTTTATCCATATGTTTTATAGAAATCTCAAGCTGAATATTAAAAATAAACTACAGTCTGACAGCTAGTTTTCATGAGCTGTATTTCAAATTTGAATAAAATTATTTCTCATCCCTTCAGATAAGTAAAGTGACATTAATTCAGTAAACAAACCACTGAGCTCTTTAGAATAAGCTGTTTGCACTCAAAACTCAGTTTAGGAAACTAATATGTAATTTTCTATTACTGTTTCATTTTAATTATGTCATCAGTAATACAGTGCTATACCTTTTCTCAGAGAATTATAGAATCAGACTTGTTTGGGTATAATAATGGACTTTGTGGTCATGAAGTCTTTTTCTTAGAAGTCTACAAAATATTGTGTGTTTTTTTAACAATGCTGTATTTATGCTAATCCAGATAAGAATTAAAGAAATATGTATTTGAAAGGCAGAAAGAACTTGAGATCTTGTCGATTCCCCAACAAACCATTTGATATTTGAAGTGTTCATCTAGTACTTTCAGGAGAGAAGAGAGTACTCACGCACATATTTTTTTTTTCAAATGTTGTTTCTTTTAACATATAACCCCTAAATGTCCAGGCATTCTAGAATGTAAGACAATTCATGTCAGATTAACTTTCAGAAACTGGTTCTAGTATCAGAATGAGGACCTACGTGTAATAGATGTTTGTCTCTATTGGACTCCACAGATTCTAAGGATTCTGAGTAGTTGGTGATGTAAAGTACTTGTCTCTAACTTTCTTTGCCTTTTAGTTCTTGGAGAAGGCATTTCAGCCAGTATAGAAGAGAAATTCCATGCCATTGCTAACTTACTCTTCCTTATGGATGTAACTAAAGATTTTTAAACATTGTAATTATTGGTATTCTTTTTTTTCCAATTTCCCAGAATTGTAAGAAGAGTGATTTCCAAATGCTTTGAAATAATGATACACTAGTATTGTTTAAAATAGCATGCCCCTATCCTCTGAGTGTAAACCTAAAATATATATCATGCATATGTATTTTTTTCTAATTTAAAATAAGTGACCTGTTTCAATTCGTATTACTCCTGAGATGTCAGTCAGGAAAGTATTTTGAAAGTTTGAGGGGTTTTTTGTTTTTTCTTTATTGAGGTATAATTGATATACAATGTTACATTAGTTTCAGGTGTACAACACAGTGATTTGATGATATTTCTATACCTTACAAAATGATCGCCATGATAAGTATAGTGACCATCTGTCTCCATACAAAATATATACAATATTACTGACTATATTCCCTATGTTGTATATCACATCTCCACATCTTATTGATTTTATAACTGGAAGATTGTACCTCTTAATCTTCTTCATCTATTTCATCCATTTCCCAATCCCCTTACCTCTGGCTACCATCAGTTTTATTTTCATGTATTTATTTATTCATTCATGTCACTCTTCTTTGCCTGCCATTTCTTTTTTCCAGTTTTATTGAGATATAATTGACATATAACATTGTTAAGTTTAAGGTATACCACATGATGATTTAGCATATGTCTATATTGTGAAGAAATTACCACAGTAAGGTTAATTAACACATTGATTACTTCACCTAATTACCTTTTGTGTGTATGTGTGCGCATGTGCTAAGAATATTTTAGATTCACACTCGGCAACTTTCAAGTATATAATACAATACTGCTGATAATAGTCACCATGCTGTATATCAGATCCCCACAATATTCTAACTGCTGACATTTATGGATAGAATATGAAGTGATATCCTAATCATTATATTTATCATCCTTATATAAATACTCCTATCTTACACACATACATATTATAAAGCATCTTTACTTTTCAAAATTATTCTGTGTTGCATGATTATTTAAAGTATTTCAATACCATTGAATAACAAATGTTACAGGATTGTAATTTAAATCCTACCACTTAATTTTTTATTGAGAATTGTTTAAAAGGATATCCCAACAAAAAGAAATATTATATTTGGGCGTGTCTATGCAATGACGATTATCAGTGAACTATGACTGTAGTATTAATGCACAAATTGCAAAGTGGTGGTTGGAGAGAAATACACAAAACTATTGTTAGATACTATGGAACTGCCAGAAAGTGACTTGTAAATCCTAGTCACAAGGATTACCCTTTGCTTAGGATAGTAAAGCTACTTAAATTACATAGTCAGGGTGGGTTATTAGCCAACAGATGTTTTATGTTGGTGGCTTGAGAATTCTGTTGACAAAATAGTTGATAAAAATAGTCTCAAAAAAGCACACTCTGAAACGGGCCTTATTACTCATAGAAAAGCTGTGTAATTATTATCAACATTTTAAAAACAAAAAATTAAAAGAAAAAGTAAGCTTAACTGAAACTAGTTTAAATGTTTCTGTGGGACATAAATTTAATCAGTTGTTCTAGAAGAACATAAATACTCATCAGATAATAAAAATTTTCAGGACACTAAATTTCACCTCATTAAAAGTTCAGAACTGGGCTCAATACCTTTCTTCCTATTAATTTCAAGAGGTGAATTAATTTATGAAATTTTTGCAATAAACACACTGCTCTTGTAAAGGAAATAATAATGCTCCTGACTCATATATTCTGTACTTCCAATTATTTTTTGCAGCTGCAAATATTTGCTAAGTGATGTGGACAAGTGGGATGTTAGACACAGGTGGAGATTCAGAAGACATTGTCTCTGTAATAAATTTGCTGAGAAACTAGAGTGAAAAATCAGCATGCCTCAATTAATATTGTAAAACATGATAAATAAGTAGTGTCAAAAATGATATTGGAGTTTAAAGGAGAGATCAATTAATTGTGATGGGAGGTGTCAGAGAGGCAGCATGGAATAGTGATTTGTTTGATGTCAGGACACCTGGATTCAAATTCTGTCTCTGCCAGTTACTAGCTGGGTGACCTTACACTTTAACATTGATCTGAGTATCAGTTACCAGTAAATAGTCATACCCAACTTACAGCTTTGTTGTAAAGAGTAGAGACACTGACTATAAATAACAAAACTTGATTACAAGCAATAAATAGTGATGGTTATATTTATTAGTACGATGTATTCATGGTTATGCATTTTTCAATAAATATTTAGTGGCAACCTTATTGAAGGTGCTAGGATATAGGTCCTGGTCTAGGTGGTTGGGAGGTAGTAATGAACAAGGCAGATGAAGGCACAGGCAATAAGTGCATATAAGAGGGAGTGAATGTGATCAAGGGGCAGGTGTGAAGTATGTTAAATAGACATGGCAAGGAAGGGCTTTTTTAGGAGGTGGGGTTTGGACTGAAACCTGAAAGAGGACACGGATTCAACCACATGGAAGAACTTAAGAATTTTTGAGGCAAAGGAAACACTAAGTGCAAATGCACCAAGGGTGGGAAAGAGCTTCTCTGGCACCTTTTTGGGAAGGAAGGATTACAGGGTCACTGAAGCCTAGTGGTCAGGGGAGAGGGCAGCAGGAGACAGGATGGAGCAGTGAACAGGATCAGATCATGTAAGTTCTCGTAGGCTGTGGTAAGGAGTCTAATTTTATTCTCAAAGCAATGGGAAGATATAGAAGTGTGTTAACTTGGGAGCATCTTGATTAGATATCTTTTAAAAAAAATCATTTGCACTGCAATTTTATATCCGTCATTTTTTCACACATCAGACTTCTGAAGTTGATAGAGATGTTTCTTTTCTTTTCTTAATTTTACTGATAATGAAATTGAGACTTAGAACAATTAAATGACTTATTTGTCCAGAGCAGGACCACAACCCTGGTCTTCTCACCTCCAGACAATATTATGCCCTCATATCCCTTCTCACATGCCTGGATGATTTCTATAGGTGTTACTGTTGATTTTTTAAAAAATTCATTCTAAGCCAATCTTAGTTTTTCTGATCTTTTCTTCTTTTATTATTATATATAGTCATTTGTTTTTTAGAATTGA